GTCATCAAATATTATATTTTTAAAAACTATGTTTCAATATGAATCCACTGAGATAATTTTTCTTGACATGCATTCACATCTTGTTAGTTAAATCTTTAGTCAAAATTTGACACAAACTACAACGGAGACCTACAAACCAGGACAGAGGTAGTACATCCAAAGCATCGATACAAACTCACACCATACACACCCAAGGCGAGATACAAGTAAGTCGGGCAATGAAGCACACCCTCAACGACAATCAAGCACCTACAAGATGTGCAAAAGGAACCACTTAGCGCCGACGGAGACTTCCAAGAGCAATCGTTCGGGAGGGGTGTGTGACGAACCATGCCAGACCAAGGGCTCCAAGACGATGCCTCCAAGAAGGGTACGACTACAGAATGTCGCCACCGTCCGATCCGAAGATCAAGTTTTCACTCGGAGCGAGACAGAGGAGAGGGAGCACCACGACGGAGCCTACAGGGAGGAACACGACGTCCACGGACGCCACCACCATCGGCCAGTGCACGAACTGGACAGGTGGTGTACCCCCGGTGCTTCAACCCCTCCGTCGCATCCCCGACCCGCCAACCACTCGCAGCCATGCCGCCCAAGTGGCCATGGTTGTGCGCCCGCAATCGAGAAGCGTCGTCCGCCCACGACAGACGCACCTCTCACCCCTAGGACCACCGCCCTGCCACCATACCACCGCAAAAGCCACCAAAGAACACAACTTTGACCAGATCTACACCCCCAACCGACTCCGAAGCTGCCGGCAGACACCTTGCCACGAGAAGGACTACGACCAAACGCCGGCCGGGGGAAGGGGGAGGTGACGAAGCAGCCCAAGGCCAAGATCGGCGATGGGGCACACGACAGTGCCCCCATCCACCAGCCAGCCTCCCCCCCCGGAAACCAATTTCGCCCCCAAAGCCACAGATCCGGACCAGCCAGAGTGCACCGGCCGCTGTTGGATGACAAAGAGGGGAAGGGGAACCAGATTGTCCGTCGTCTGGCCCAAGGTAAGCCAGCAGGGGGGGTCTTCCCGTGTCGAGTGTCGCCGTCCCGCCGCAAAGGGCCCTACTGGACGGGGATGCCCACCTCCACCGTTGTCGTGCCGCCCCCTCCCCCACCAGGGAAGCCACAGAGAGAGGGGCCGCCCGCGACCCGGTCAACCTCGACCCGCAGCGCTGCCGGGAAGCAACTGTCGTCGACACCACCAACCGGCCTGCACCACCGCCTTGCCGCCTGTCACATCACCACCACGCCACCATCGTTGGCCCACGCCGGAGCGTCGCCGCGCCCGGCAACGAGCACTGCGTCCCCGCCCGCGTCAAGCCCCCCGCGCGAGGAGACTAGAGGGCCTCGCCGCCGCCAGCGACGACCGGGCTTCGCCCGCTCGCGCCCCCTGGCGGCGGCGGGGGAGGAGGAGAGGAGGAGGGGAGGGTGGGCGGCGGTGCTAGGGTTCGCATCCCGGACACTCACGAGAGCGTCGCGGGAGGGGGAAGGGGGATTCATGCCATGCACATACCGTTAAGGAGACAAAAATCTAAGAAAACGGACAGGTCCCACTCCTCTTGTTGCCGACGAGGCTTCAACATGAGGGAGAGGAGGTGGACCGATGCGGTGGCGGCGATTTTGAATAGGGGTGTCCATACCTCATCTACTGTTTGTGGTTCTTTCATGTTAATCATGCGTTGTTGGACTTGTAGACAAGCTTAGGGTGCAAAACTAAAAATGTTACACGTGGGTTGTTGGATCTTTGATAGATGGTTTAGATTGGTCATGTGGGAGGGGGGAGGGGTTGTGGAATGTACATAGCCCCCGCACCAACTTAAACGTGATCAATCTAGGCCATCCATAAAAAATTCAATGGCGCACATACATTTTTTTGCACCTTAAGAGTTGATTGAATTCTAGTCGTCTCCACAAGTTTGTAAGGTTTACGATGATGCTGCATGAGTAAATTTGTGGCATCGACCATCCAATCAAAAGCATGTCAAAATGCCAGACATGTGTCACCGTTCGTTGGAAGGTGGTGATAAAAACACAGAACCGGAAAATGCTGAAGTTCCCTGTTTGTTGAGGCTATGTTAAGGAAATTTCATTTGTATGATTTGTGTTTTGTTTATTTAGCATTCTTTTAGTAACCTAACCAAATTAGCAAAAAGAGTTTGCTTGTCAAAACCGATATATAAATCCAATTCATCCTTAAGATGGTCGTATTGATTGATCGCCTACTATAGATGGTTGAACTATCGTCGAAGAAAGATTCATGATTGAAAACCAATACTATCATTTCGCATTTAAAAAAAAAGGCAATACCATATTAAACCAATTGATCGACATAGATGAACTGACAGAATTAACAAAGAGACATTGACGGCTACATCCGTATCTAAAATTAATTTGTTGATGTGGTTGCCGAAGAGAGTCGGTAGTTAAGACCGGTAAATAAAGTCAATGTGACCGATCACCTGCTGGATAGGTTTTCACTTGCATAACAACGAACAATCTAGCGCGCGGCGGTAAAGACATCTATACTTCTAGATAGAGGCAGTTTTTCTTCAGAAATGTTCTTTGGTGGGTTAGAGAAAACGGATGCGATCCGAGGCCTCGATCGACAGCAGGAGCATGCCCACCGTACGAGATAGGTGGACGGTGCCCATCCACCTGTCCTCGTGAGTGAGACGTGTCTCAGAAAAGGAACATAGTGATGATCGCCAGCACAGCCCATCTTAAGACGTCATCAGGGCTAGCATGGAACAGCAACTGCCTCATTTAGGCCCGTCCGCATCGATGCAGTTGCAACCAATTTGTGCGGTACATCATCAAGGCAGGTGCGTGCGTGCACGATCATCTGAGAGGCGCGTACACCAGGAGATGCATGCATCCAAGAAAGACCGCATGGCTGCGATGCGACATTGCGAGCACAGCAGGAGAGACGGCGATCGGCTCAGTCGGCGTGGTAGAGACGAAAAACGCCACTGACTAGTCTAGTCCTTGAGACGCGCGCAAACGTGCTGGCACAAATCATCATGTTTGGACGGACCCTACGTAAGCAAATGTGACCGAACATGTGTTCAATCTGTTAGATCGATCGTCCTCCATCATATCCATATAGCGCACGTAGCACGATCGATCGAGCTCATGCCTCCTGTTTCTATGTGAAACGGAGCCGGAGAGGTTGCTTCCCTGTTCATTCATCCAAAAAAAAGCTCATGCCTCGTGCAGTGCACGAAGGTATGCAAAGGGCCTCTGAGCGTGAGAAGGTGAGGCGACGCGCGACGCCGAGGCAAAGACGGCGTGCCGGCCCATCGCCGTGGCAGGGGTCGGTGGTTCAGATGGCAGGGGCGACGGCAATGGCGACTGCGGCTAGAGGGAGAAGAGGATTGCGGTCCGTCAAATATAGATCGGACGATGGAGAACAAAGTGACCAACGAAAAAAAAATGACTCGTCAGATTATTATTTTTTTGACTAAAAATCGACCCATCAGATGCTTCTCCTGCGCATGGACGCAACGACCCAATGCTAACGGAAACCAACATCCTACCTTTTTTTTAGGTGTAGCAACATCCTACCTACGTGCGGGATAGTAAACGTGCACCCCGTCACGGTAGACCGGCCCATTTACACGTTTTGTGTTTTCTTTGCAAAATATAACTCTATAGACTAACAACGACAAAGTACTAAAAAAGACTAAAACGACAAAAAGAGATAAACAGTTTTGAAAAATACAAAATACAGAAAATTAAAAAATACGAAACATGTTGACCCTGTATTTTTTTAAATCGTCAAAGGTTTGAAAAATATTCACCACGTGATTGAAAATATTAATCATATATTTTAAAGTATTTTTGGCATGTGTTGAAAAATGGTCATCACATATTAAAAAAAGATCTGTTACGTATTAAAAAATCTCATGTATTTTTTAACTTTCATGAAGTATTCTAAAAAAATTAAACATATACTAGAAAAATGTTCATTGCATGTTAAAAAGTTGTCTCATGTTTTGAAATATTATTGCTATTTAAAATGTTTACTGTGCATGTAATAATGCTCATCGTGAATTACTAGAAAGTCCATCTTTATCTTTTTTTTTGCGATGGATAAAGTCCATGTTTATAAAGTTGCATATAGAATAGAAAAAAAACTTGAAGAACAAAATTATAGAAAATGGGAAGAAAAGAAAACCAACATCGGCATCCAATGCCGTCCACACCCTTCTGGCAACCGGATCCACGGAAGGACAAATGCCATCAGTGCATAGAATTTTGCAAGCTCTAATTTGTTTCAGCCATAAATCAATAATCGAATCGATGGACGACACTTTTTGGATGCGAGCCGTGCTCAGATGCTACCATGCTCCCACTGTGATATTGAAGAGCTGAGATGCGAGACGGGGCTTGTTTAGTTTGCTTATGGGTAGTGCTACCTAGCACATGCAACGATCTAAAGCATCCGATTTCAGACGCCTGTGACTCGACATGAACCAAACACGCCCGAGACGAATCACCGTCAAGATCATGGTCAACCAATCACTAATTTCGGATAATTTCACTAGTTAGCCCCGAATTCGGAGAGGATTCTAGCTAGGGTTTATATTAGCAAAGGGAAAAGTAGAGGACAACCACTCCAGTGGCGGCTAGGGTTTACATCCTGATTACAACTCGATGCACTATCCTAGGTTTAAAAAGGAGCCATTACACTGAAGAAGTAAAAGGCGAAAAGAGAAAGCCAAGTGCGACATGATCAGAAACAAAAAAAAAGGCGCCAGTTAGGTAATTAAATGTAGGCCGTTGGATGGCGATCAGAGATCACTCACGTCATCTCTTTAGTGGCCCGCGACTGGTTCGCCGGCTACATCCAGGCCGTCTGATCTTGATCGGAGGGTCTTTAGAGCGTGCTGGAACTGATGGTACAGCTAACTGAAGATAATAGTCAGTGTAGATTCAGTAATGAGCCTGACACTCGCGCACCCAACAAGTTCTCCGCCCCCACGATAAGCCCGAGTTAACTATCCAACGAAGCCTAGAACGATGTAGTACACGATCAACACGGGCAACGACGCCAGCGTCCCGAATATAACCCTGCAAGATTCAGCACAGTTTCAGACAAAACGTACTACGCGTTCAGAAACGAAGCCTAATTAAGCAAGCAGACGCAGGTATAATACCACTCCATTACTTACGCGGTGCTCAGCACATCGGCGTGCAGGCCGTACTCCTTGGCGAACACGAACGTGGTGATGGACTGGGGGAGCGCAGCCTGCCGGTACATCGATCGCCAGGTGAAGCAAGAGCGTTAACACGGCGAAAAACATGCGTGTCAGTCGATGTAGCGGACATCATTCAGAAAAAAAACTTTTGAAGTAGATTGTGCTGTGACCTGTATGATGGCGAGGCGCAGGACGTCGCCGCGGAGCCCCAGGGCGACGGCTCCGGCCGCGGTGGCCGCCGGGCCGGCGACGAACCGCAGCGCCATGCCCAGCGCGGTCAGGCCGGCCCCGCAGACGATGATCTTCTCCTGCAGCGCCATGAACAGGCCTGCATGCCACCAACCAATCCATCGATAAACAGATAGATACGGTAGTGCCTCTCGTTAATTTCTTGACAGTTGCTCCGACGATTTGCTAGCTTACCCATGCTGAACATGGCGAGCCCGACCCCGGTCCTGGACATGATCAGCACCGAGCCCTCGATGATGCTCGGCGTCACGATGTGCCACCTGCATATGCGCAGAATAAATTAAGCAACGGCTGATAAAAAATACGTTCAGAAGGATGCCAAGTGCCACTGTGTCAGTGTGCCAGTGTCATTCATCTCAAAGAAACAGAAATAAAGCTGAACTCTATGCCAAATTGTTTCCCGACGGGGCCATGTGCTACTTTTTCTGCAGCAGTAGTTCGATTGCAAAGTGCACCGGATGCCTGAAATTGATTTAGTTATAGATTGTTGAGCATAGTTGTTTATTCGTCTGTTCCACTAACAAGCGGTATTTGTTCTGCCTCAATTATTTCTTAGTGTGAACCACCTAAGCTTGCTTAACACTTTAGGAGGGACAAAGAGTACAGGTTCCGTTAACTACTTGATGCAACTCTGCGTGATTATCATATGTTGGGATTATATTGTTGTGCTGTGAATCGACCATTCACAGTTTAATGGTAGGCCTACAACTTTTCAGTTTGCACCTCTTGCTACAACACCTACCGGTCTCTTCATAGGAAAAAATATCACATTCGCCAGTGTTAGAACATATTGTTTTTTAAGTGATGCATTTGTGATTTCATGTGTGTTAAATTATTTGAGATATTTCTTGAATTAATTGATTTCCAACATAAATTTGTGAACCTTTTGGTTTTTAACATTAACAATTCCCAAATTGTAAGTAAATACTTATAAAATTTTACATATTTTGTTTTCTATTTTTTTTACCTTTCTACCTTTAATTCGATATTGTCATCTGTTTTTTTTCATTTTTTCCCTTCAAATCCTCCTGAAAATTTCTCACCATTTTATAACTTGTTTTATTTTGTGTCTTGACGGGGCTACAATGTGTATGATTGCCTCATATGACTTTGATGGTCACAAAACCAAATACGGCCAGCATTGAAAGTAAAGGGTGAAAACTATATTGCATTGGATTCGGGACAAAAACTAACATTGGATCGATTTTGTAATAAATGAGGTTTGGATTCATGTTTGATTTTCCATGGAACTGATGTCAAACAGATGCACTCCTTGGGAAGTTCTACTGTCATCCTAGCTATGATTTAAAGTCCTTTATTCACAAGAATTTTTGGCAAGTTTCTAATTTTTTTTATCATTCCTTCTTGACTTTCTTGCGTGTTATGTTTTCCCTCCCCTTCTTCGGCGGCACGTTGATGCCAAACGGGCGTATAAGGTTCCCCCGAGTCTCCCCATCACAACGGTGTCGTCTACGACTGTGCCGATGACTCGATGGCGTATTTTCAGGTCGACCATTCTGGTCGATGAGATTATAGTTTGAAAGGCTTGTTGGCGCGGCGACAAACGACTTCCCTTTATCGTTTCAGAACCGGCTTCCTCCTGTGCTTGTGAGGCTTGTGAGAAATAATGGAGGTTTGACTCTTGTATCTGTGGCTCTTTCAGCGGTAACGGTTTCTTCTCCGCGATGTTGGTTCGGCAAGATGTGACCTTGATGACTTCCCGTCCGTGATCGAAAACAACAAGCTGGCTCCGATGATGGAGCGGCATGAGGCAGGCGCCGTCTGCCTGTTCGGGTGATAAAGGCAGTCAACCCTCATGGACTTTGATGTGCAAGTATTCAGTGGTATTTGTAGTGGTTTATTTGACCCATATATCTTTTTTCAAAAAAAATGAAATAACAAAAGAAATCTATCAAAATTCTATACTGCAAGAGTGGTTTGCTATCCTTAACCCAACCAATAAGTTTTATTTTCGATGACACATCCCAATCACATTTTCCCATTATGTCATACCAGTCTGTGCATATATGCCAGCACCAAAACGAGGATACAGACCTATATGTGGTTGGATGGTTAGGTGAACCGTGGACAGCGGTATCCCCAGCACATCAGAGTTCAAGTCATGGTGCTCGCATTATCTTGGATTCATTTCAGGATTTCCGGCGATAAGTGTTCAGTGGGAGGAGACGTTCCCCTTGACTACGAGGTGTCTATGGTGAGACTTCATCAATCTCAAGATGATATGACAGTTCAGTCTTTCGGAGGTGCTCATAGAAATAGCATGTGTGTGTGTGTCTTCACAGGGATGAGGGTACACACATGATCGCCTGTGTCTCTTTGTTCTCAAAAGCAAAAGGCACCAAAACGAGGATGTGATCCTGCCACACTATCGAGACCGTCTTGACGTCCGACTCGTGCGTAACAACATCACATCCTCCCGGAGAAAAAGTTGCACGTAGCTAAGAGTGGTGCGTGCATGCAGAGAAATACGGATCGTACCTGTTTGTGACGCAAGACCAGGCGACCCCGAGGACGCCCGCGTAAACGTTGGGATTCCGTGCCACCTTGAGCCAGACCGCTCTGACCAACGGCCATACCGGCTCGCGCCGCCGCCTCCCCTCCGCGCCGCCGTCCTCCACGTCGTCCTCGCTCGCTGAAACCGCTGCCGCCGCGTCAGGCTTCCCTGCGCCACCACCGCACGCACGCCTGACCTCGAACGCCAGCAGCAGCAGCGGGAAGTAGACGATGATCTGCACCACCGAGATCTGCACGACGAGGTCGCGCGCCCACCCGCCGTACATGGCGTCCAGCAGCGGCACGCCCACCACGAGCGTGTTGTTCAGCGTCGCCAGCGAGAAGCCGGTGATGCACCACGAGGAGGCTAGCTCCCCGCCGCCCCCGCCGCGCTTGGCGCCACCGCGGCAGCAGCGCGTGGACGCGGCGGCCCAGGCGGCGAGGGCCAGCGCGACGGCGAGCTTGGAGAGCGCGTCGGCGGCGAGGACGCGGTAGTTGAGCGCGTAGGGGTCCATGCGCGCGGCGAAGTCGAAGGCGAAGAAGGGCACCGCGAAGTAGGCCACGAGGCGGTTCACGGCGTCGCACTGGTCCGGCGTGAAGAGCTTCCACCACCGCACCGAGCCGTAGCCGAGGCCCAGGGCGAAGTAGAGCGGCGCCATGGCGGCCACCACCTTGTACACGTCGCCCCATCCGATCATCTCCTCCGCCACGCTCTGTTCGTGTGTCACAACTCACAACTCACAAGCGCGCGATGTGTTTCGGTGCCGTTTCTGGGTGCCTATATGTGGGCTCGAGGATGCAGTTGCATGCATGTATACGGAACATATTCTGATTTCCAGAACTTTGGCATCGAACAGAAAGTAAGAAAGGGATTCACAGTCAGCATCAGCATCATTTCACCAGGGATAGCCGTAGTGCGCAGCGCAACCTCCGCACTCTTCCGCTATCGCTCATTCTTCTCCCTCCCCTTGTCTTTTCTTCCTCGCCGCCCACTGCCCCCTCCACTCCCCGGGATCAGGGCATTCTCTCCTTACTTTTCCATTCACGTCGATATGGAAACAATGATTATGTCTCAAGCATGGAAAGTCTTTGTAGAAATATTACTATGAACTACATACGAACGTATATAGATGCATTTTAAGTGTAGATTCACTTATTTTGTTTCGTATGTAGTCTATAGTGTATTTTTAAAAAAACTTATATTTAGGAACAGAGGAGTATTAAGGCTTCTTTGGGAAGGCCACAATGATTCATGCATGGCTAGGTTTATAAAATTAATCTATTGCAAGAATTTTTAGGTCTATTTGATTCAAAGGATTTTGAAAGGAATCTTAAAGGTCCTAAGGACCTTTTTCCTACATGGGTTGTTTGTTTCGCAGGATTATAGTTCATAGGAATCTTTCCTTGGGATTGCTTTATAATAGATTTCATAGAAAAGTTTCCATCCACCTCGACCTTGTATGAAGATTACTACGTTTATACTGAGCATAATCAAATGTCTATACTATCTCATACTCCCTCCGTTCGGAATTATTCGTCTAAGAAATGAATGTATCTAGATGTATTTTAGTTGTAGATACATTCATTTTTATTCATTTTTTGTGACAAGTAATTCCGAACGGAGGGAGTAGTATTTTTTAGACACATTACAAATGCAGACGCTCATACACTTATCCCTATGAACACACAAACATACACTACCCATATGATCACCTCTAGCACAATATTTTGAGATTGATGAAGTCGCCACAGACAGCTTAGTAGGAACGTCTTGAACTCCGATGTGCTGGGATACCACTATCCGCCTAACCATCCAACCACAGATTGGTTCGCTACAATCTCAGAGTATTGAGGATGACATGTTACTCTATCTATGTGTTTTTCCTATTCACACGTTTGAGAAATCCTGTAAATCAACAAAGAGACATAACTTAGAAACAAGACTTAGCTAGGTAGCTGTCTCATGAGCCGCTCTCTTTATTTCTCTTGGAGAATGCTTAAATCGGCAAAGCCAAATATGCACTGCCGCCGCACTACGCCTTGGGTTGGACATATTTGTACATGTATATGTTAAGATAATCTTCTATCGGCCCCATCTCTAGTTTTTTTGTATAGATAAGGCTGAAGACTGCCCTTGTACCCATATATACGTGCACCGTGCACCCGATCAATACATCAAGAGCTGCATTGCCTTCAACATGGTATCAGTTTTCCTTCCGATTCAACCCTAGCTTCCGCTCCTAGCCGCCGCCGCCGCAGCTTCTCGCTGCCGCCGCCGCCGCCATCCACTTGTGCCGCCGCTGCACCCTCACCCCGCCGCCACGCGCGCCTCCCCACCCCAATCCCCCTCTCCCTCTCCCCGAGCCGCCTCCCTCCCGATCGCCATCTCCACCAGCCGCGCCGCCATCCCTCCCCTCGGTCGCCGCCGCACCCATGGCCTCCCCCCACTCCGCCGCCTCCCTCCCCTCCAACTCCTTCGAGGGTCCGGCCCCTCCTCCGGTGGAGGTCGTCCGCGATCTGGACATCTTTGCCCGCGTGCCCATCGTTGTCGACTACGCCACCTCCACCTATTACACCTGGAAAACCTACTTCTCCCTCGTCTTCCGTGAGTACCACCTCATCGATCACGTCGATGGCTCTGTCGACTCCGGTCTCATGTACGCGGACGACAACTGGCTGAGCATCGACGCCACCATCACTCGCTGGCTGTACCAAATCATCTCCAAGGACATCTTCCACACCATCGTCTGCGACACTGACGACGCGCAGATGGTGTGGGCGAAGCTTAACGGGCTCTTCCTCGACAACACCCTCTAGCGTCGCGTATTTCTTCAGCAGCAATTTTTTGGCTGCCATCAGCTTGACTCGTCCATTGACGATTATTGCATGCGCCTTAAGAAACTCGCTGACGAACTCCGCAACCTCGGGGAGCGGCCTGAACGAGGAGTTCGGCAACACGGCCTCCAACCTCACGTTCCTCCCGGACCCGACCTTTCCTCGGGTCGTGGCTTATCTTCGGTTGGAGGAGAGGAGGATGAAGATGGTGAAGTCCCGGGCCACGCACACGGCTCTCGCGGCGGGCACCTCCCGCACCACTCCTCCCACAGCGCCGTAGCCGCCGCGGCCTCTGCCGCCGCCGCCGGCGTCGTATTTCCAGGCGCCACCGACGCCCGTCTACCAGCCGCCATCCCCTTGCCCCCGATCACCGCGGCGGGGGGCGCCGCGGCAAGAAGCAGTAGCAGTAGCACGGGAGCCGCAACAACAGCAACTGCCCCCGGCCCCCTGGGCCGCCGCGACCAACCCTTGGACGGGGCTGGTCCATGCGTACACGATGCCCGTGCCGCGGGCCCCCGTCCCGGCTGGGATCCTCGGCCCCGCCCCGGTGCGCATCAGGCGCTCCTCGCCGCCCCGGGCGGCTACCCCGTCGCGCCCCCTCTGTACGCCGCGCTGGGTGGCTACCCCGCGGCCATGACTGGCTATGCCGTCCCGGGTGGCTACCCCGCTGCCCCTCCGGCCGCGGCCACCGCACTCCCACCGGCCCCTTGGGACCCGACCTCCTCGCGGTGCTCCACTCCGCCCCTACACCCAACACGTACACTGGAGGCGGCGACTGGTATATGGATTCTGGGGCTACCACCCACATGCCTTCCAACCCCGGTAACCTCAACTCCGTATTTTCAGTTTCTACCGCATGTCGTATTACTGTTGGGGACAAGTCTTCCCTTCCCATTACTCATGTCGGTCATGGTTCCTTTCCGTCTAACTCTACGCCTATTCACATGTCCAATGTCTTAGTTTCACCTGAGTTAGTCACTAATCTTGTTTCCGTTTGTTCTCTTACACGTGAAAAATCCTATAACTGTTGAATTTGACGAAGTGGGTTTTTCTGTCAAGGATGCCCGTACTCGAATGGTGCTCCACCGATGTGACAGCCCGGATGGCCTCTACCCGGTGAACTCCACTGCCACTTCGACATCCTCTCCGGTCACTCTCTCCGCCACGGTGGACCTTTGGCATGCTCGGCCGGGACATCCAAACCCGGCCACCCTTCGTCATATTCTTAGGACTTTTTCATTCACATGTAATAAAACCGATGATCATACTTGTCATGCTTGTCGTCTTGGCAAGCATGTTCGTCTTCCGTTTAGCGCGTCCTCATCGGTGGCGTCGTATCCATTTGAGTTGATTCATAGTGATTTGTGGACATCTCCTGTTGCCAGTAATACGGGTTTTTTATACTATCTTGTCATACTTGATGATTTTTTGCACTACGTGTGGACCTTCCCATTGCGGAGAAAATCCGATGCACTCTCCGTTCTCACCACCTTTTACTCGTATGTTGCCACGCAGTTTGGGCGTCCCATTCATGCCTTGCAGACTGACAACGGGAAGGAGTTCGACAACGTCGGGGTTCGCACCCTCCTCATCACACACGGGACGATTTTTCGTCTCACCTGCCCGTATACCTCGCAACAAAATGGTCGCGCCGAACGGATTCTTCGCACCCTCAAAGATTGTGTGCGCACTCTTCTTTTACATGCCAATGTCCCGCCCCGGTTTTGGCCGGATGCTCTCTCCACCACCTCTCTCCTCATCAACGTCCGTCCAACTCGTGCTCGTGGAAACTTTGCACCACATCATCTCCTCTTCGGTAGCCCACCTTCATATGATGATCTTCGTGTTTTTGGGTGTCTGTTATCCTAGCGTCGCTTCCACCACTCCTCACAAACTTGCACCTCGCTCCGTGGCATGCATTTTTCTCGGATACCCACCAAACACCAAAGGCTATCGCTGCTATGATCCGGTTTCCCACTGAGTCTTCACTTCATGACACGTTTACTTTGACGAGAGGTCTTTTCCTTTTCACCAGGTACCGCCGCCGGCCGACTCGCCATCATCACCCGCGCCTCCTGGCGCCTCTCGGGGAGGCCGCTCACTCGCGCTCGGTCCCCCTGCAGCGCGTGGGCCTCCCCTGGCTTCGGCGGCCCAGCTGCGCCTGGACCCTACTCTGGGTCCGCGGCGTCGGACCCAGACCTCTCGCCCGCCGGCTCGCAGGCCTTCTCGCCGGCGGTCACGGCGCCTCTGACTCCTGTTGAGTCTGCAGCCCGGTCAGCGAGCGCATCCCCTACGCCTGACCCGGGCTCCTCGACAGCTTCCGCCGCCCCGGCTGCATCCTTGCCGGCGGCCACGGCGCCCCGACTCCCGTTGAGTCCGTAGCCCGGGCAGCGAGCGCTTCTCCAGCGCCTGCCCCCGGCTCCTCGATGGCCTCTTCGCCGGCCTCGTCGCCGGCCCCGCCGGTCGCCCCGGACACCCGCATGGTCACCCATGCTCGTGCCGGTATTCACCGGCCCAGCACGCGTTATCCTGCGGATGAGTACCTCCTCGCTGCCTCGACGTCTGCACCGTCACCTCTCCCGTCGTCCGCTCGAGCCGCACTTCGCGATCCGCATTGGCTTGTAGTGATGCAGGAGGAGTTCGATGCGCTGGTGCGCAACCGCACTTGGCAGCTTGTCCCGCGGCCACCCCATGCCAACGTCATCTCTGGCAAGTGGGTATTCCGGCATAAGACTGATCCTGACGGGTCTCTCGAGCACTATAAGGCTCAGTGGGTGGTCCGCGGGTTTCGGCAACGCGCTGGAGTCGACTTCACCGACACGTTCGCCCCGGTCGTTAAACCAGGCACAATTCGCGCGGTCCT